GAGAACATACCCCAGGTCCCCGCCGCAACTCGAGAAAAACCAGGAGACTTCCCCCTAGAGGCGAGATGAGGCCCCATTCCCCTGCAGTGCATGCAGAGCTATTCCGTGACCCCATTCAAACAAGTCTGGAGCTTCGACTTGCTTAATGGATCTCGAGACAGTCCCCAGGAACACTGTCACCAGTCTAGACGGACCCTGAGGTCACCCCAGCAACGCAAAGCAGCTCCATGTGCCCCAAATCAACTCGAGATGAGGCCCGATTCCCCTGCATTGACTCCGGAGCCATTCCCCGTTCCCCATTCAACACGACCGGTGGCTCGACTTCCTTCTGGCAACTCCAGAGATGCCCCGAGAACACTCTCCCAAGTCTAGAGGAACACCAACTTCAGCACAGCAACTCGAGGAATGCTCCGTGTACCCCAAATCGTCTCGAGATGCGAGCTGATTCCCTGGCTTAGGCTCAAGACGTATGCCAACTTCCCAGAAGCACCTCAGGATGAGGCTTCTCTCAGCAATAGGTATGTGGGAGGGACCCCGAGTTTGCTGCCTCAAGGGGAATATACAGCGAGAAGCCCTAACTTGAAAGGAGGCCAGATTTCCTTGCAGTGGCTTGAATACAGGCTCGTGTTTCATCTCACAACATGAAGGGATGTCTGAATCCCCTGTGGAGACCTTAGAGAAAGCCCTAGGTCCCTGCCTCATTTTGACGGCATGCCTCACATCCCGCTGACACCTCGAGAGGCACGCGGAGTTCATTGCTTCAAAAGGTGACGATGCCTGACTCCTCTTGAATACTGATAGGAATCCCAAAATCCCTGTGGCTACTGGAAAGGGTCCTTGGGTGCCCTGCCTCACCTCGAGAAGCGTCCCTTTGGCCCTGCCAAGCCTCGAAGAGATTCCTGAGGTGTCCCTCGTTACTAGACAGGAGTCCTGACGTCACTGAAGAAACTCGTGTTTTGAAGGGCCATCCCCGCCGTAAGTCGAGAACATACCCCAGGTCCCCGCCGCAACTCGAGAAAAACCATGAGACTTCCCCCTAGAGGCGAGATGAGGCCCCATTCCCCTGCAGTGCATGCAGAGCTATTCCGTGACCCCATTCAAACAAGTCAGGAGCTTCGACTTGCTTAATGGATCTCGAGACAGTCCCCAAGAACACTGTCACCAGTCTAGACGGACCCTGAGGTCACCCCAGCAACGCAAAGCAGCTCCATGTGCCCCAAATCAACTCGAGATGAGGCCCGATTCCCCTGCATTGACTCCAGAGCCATTCCCCGTTCCCCATTCAACACGACCGGTGGCTCGACTTCCTTCAGGCAACTCCAGAGATGCCCCGAGAACACTGTCCCAAGTCTAGAGGAACACCAACTTCAGCACAGCAACTCGAGGAATGCTCCGTGTACCCCAAATCGTCTCGAGATGCGAGCTGATTCCCTGGCTTAGGCTCAAGACGTATGCCAACTTCCCAGAAGCACCTCAGGAGGAGGCTTCTCTCAGCAATAGGTATGTGGGAGGGACCCCGAGTTTGCTGCCTCAAGGGGAATATACAGCGAGAAGCCCTAACTTGAAAGGAGGCCGGATTTCCTTGCAGTGGCTTGAATACAGGCTCGTCTTTCATCTCACAACATGAAGGGATGTCTGAATCCCCTGTGGAGACCTTAGAGAAAGCCCTAGGTCCCTGCCTCATTTTGACGGAATGCCTCACATCCCGCTGACACCTCGAGAGGCACGCGGAGTTCATTGCTTCAAAAGGTGACGATGCCTGACTCCTCTTGAATACTGATAGGAATCCCAAAATCCCTGTGGCTACTGGTAAGGGTCCTTGGGTGCCCTGCCTCAGCTCGAGAAGCGTCCCTTTGGCCCTGCCAAGCCTCGAAGAGATTCCTGAGGTGTCCCTCGTTACTAGACAGGAGTCCTGACGTCACTGAAGAAACTCGTGTTTTGAAGGGCCATCCCCGCCGTAAGTCGAGAACATACCCCAGGTCCCCGCCGCAACTCGAGAAAAACCATGAGACTTCCCCCTAGAGGCGAGATGAGGCCCCATTCCCCTGCAGTGCATGCAGAGCTATTCCGTGACCCCATTCAAACAAGTCAGGAGCTTCGACTTGCTTAATGGATCTCGAGACAGTCCCCAAGAACACTGTCACCAGTCTAGACGGACCCTGAGGTCACCCCAGCAACGCAAAGCAGCTCCATGTGCCCCAAATCAACTCGAGATGAGGCCCGATTCCCCTGCATTGACTCCAGAGCCATTCCCCGTTCCCCATTCAACACGACCGGTGGCTCGACTTCCTTCAGGCAACTCCAGAGATGCCCCGAGAACACTCTCCCAAGTCTAGAGGAACACCAACTTCAGCACAGCAACTCGAGGAATGCTCCGTGTACCCCAAATCGTCTCGAGATGCGAGCTGATTCCCTGGCTTAGGCTCAAGACGTATGCCAACTTCCCAGAAGCACCTCAGGAGGAGGCTTCTCTCAGCAATAGGTATGTGGGAGGGACCCCGAGTTTGCTGCCTCAAGGGGAATATACAGCGAGAAGCCCTAACTTGAAAGGAGGCCGGATTTCCTTGCAGTGGCTTGAATACAGGCTCGTGTTTCATCTCACAACATGAAGGGATGTCTGAATCCCCTGTGGAGACCTTAGAGAAAGCCCTAGGTCCCTGCCTCATTTTGACGGCATGCCTCACATCCCGCTGACACCTCGAGAGGCACGCGGAGTTCATTGCTTCAAAAGGTGACGATGCCTGACTCCTCTTGAATACTGATAGGAATCCCAAAATCCCTGTGGCTACTGGAAAGGGTCCTTGGGTGCCCTGCCTCAGCTCGAGAAGCGTCCCTTTGGCCCTGCCAAGCCTCGAAGAGATTCCTGAGGTGTCCCTCGTTACTAGACAGGAGTCCTGACGTCACTGAAGAAACTCGTGTTTTGAAGGGCCATCCCCGCCGTAAGTCGAGAACATACCCCAGGTCCCCGCCGCAACTCGAGAAAAACCAGGAGACTTCCCCCTAGAGGCGAGATGAGGCCCCATTCCCCTGCAGTGCATGCAGAGCTATTCCGTGACCCCATTCAAACAAGTCAGGAGCTTCGACTTGCGTAATGGATCTCGAGACAGTCCCCAAGAACACTGTCACCAGTCTAGACGGACCCTGAGGTCACCCCAGCAACGCAAAGCAGCTCCATGTGCCCCAAATCAACTCGAGATGAGGCCCGATTCCCCTGCATTGACTCCAGAGCCATTCCCCGTTCCCCATTCAACACGACCGGTGGCTCGACTTCCTTCAGGCAACTCCAGAGATGCCCCGAGAACACTGTCCCAAGTCTAGAGGAACACCAACTTCAGCACAGCAACTCGAGGAATGCTCCGTGTACCCCAAATCGTCTCGAGATGCGAGCTGATTCCCTGGCTTAGGCTCAAGACGTATGCCAGCTTCCCAGAAGCACCTCAGGAGGAGGCTTCTCTCAGCAATAGGTATGTGGGAGGGACCCCGAGTTTGCTGCCTCAAGGGGAATATACAGCGAGAAGCCCTAACTTGAAAGGAGGCCGGATTTCCTTGCAGTGGCTTGAATACAGGCTCGTCTTTCATCTCACAACATGAAGGGATGTCTGAATCCCCTGTGGAGACCTTAGAGAAAGCCCTAGGTCCCTGCCTCATTTTGACGGAATGCCTCACATCCCGCTGACACCTCGAGAGCCACGCGGAGTTCATTGCTTCAAAAGGTGACGATGCCTGACTCCTCTTGAATACTGATAGGAATCCCAAAATCCCTGTGGCTACTGGAAAGGGTCCTTGGGTGCCCTGCCTCAGCTCGAGAAGCGTCCCTTTGGCCCTGCCAAGCCTCGAAGAGATTCCTGAGGTGTCCCTCGTTACTAGACAGGAGTCCTGACGTCACTGAAGAAACTCGTGTTTTGAAGGGCCATCCCCGCCGTAAGTCGAGAACATACCCCAGGTCCCCGCCGCAACTCGAGAAAAACCAGGAGACTTCCCCCTAGAGGCGAGATGAGGCCCCATTCCCCTGCAGTGCATGCAGAGCTATTCCGTGATCCCATTCAAACAAGTCAGGAGCTTCGACTTGCGTAATGGATCTCGAGACAGTCCCCAAGAACACTGTCACCAGTCTAGACGGACCCTCAGGTCACCCCAGCAACGCAAAGCAGCTCCATGTGCCCCAAATCAACTCGAGATGAGGCCCGATTCCCCTGCATTGACTCCAGAGCCATTCCCCGTTCCCCATTCAACACGACCGGTGGCTCGACTTCCTTCGGGCAACTCCAGAGATGCCCCGAGAACACTGTCCCAAGTCTAGAGGAACACCAACTTCAGCACAGCAACTCGAGGAATGCTCCGTA